CCTCGTGCTACTACTAGTCACAGTGACTCTAGCCAAATACAAAAGTTGTAAAAGGACAATCATGAAAAATGTCAGTGGCCTCCAGCTGGAAAATCATTCCTGTTTTGGGGGTTGTCTCATTGCTGCCCCTCTAGTGCACCTGTTGTTAATTCCATTGACACCAAAGCAGCTGAAACTGATTAATAACCTCCACGGCTATTTAACTGACCAAATCAATATTCCAGAAATTTAACTGACTTGATGTAATAGTCTGATTAAATAGTGTTCGTTTCAGTTTGTTTGAGGAGTGTCAATACAAAAGTGCTGAATGACTAATACTAGCCTACTTTATTCTCCTACAGTGAACATCAAGCTTGAATAATTTTGTACCTTCTGTGAGGTACCTAATTTTTCAGAGCAGACCTTTTAAAAAGTCCACCCACAGATCAGTAATCCCAAAGTGATTCAGTTTACTCCAATGTAACTTTGAGAATCTGCTTTGAACCACAGCAAATGCTTCATTGGTATAACTGCTGTTTACTAAAAAGGGTAACAAGCATCTATTTTGACCTCAAACTCAGAGTGAATTTGTGATCTTCCACTTTGAGCTCATCAGTGTATTTATTTTATAAGGATGAACCAGATTGTTAATTTGGGCATTCCCAAAGGGTTTCTTAGCCCTCTAATGCAGGAGTGTCAAGCATACAGGGGCCAGAATTCCAGGGCAAAGTCTCCCAAGGCTCATAAAATCTGAAGTAAATGGATTGATTCTTATTTTGAGCTATTCTACTCTATCTTAGCACTCTTTACAACGCGCCCCATTCACCAAGTCATACAAGCACTTTTTTCTAACATACACATTCATGCTCTGATAAATGGATCGGAGAGCAACTTCAGGTATGTTTCTTGGCCATTACTATAGAAATTTCAGGGTGTTTTGTTTTTTCTTTTAGCTTTATATTAATAAAAAATCTTTTGTTTTAGAATTACAAGGCAGTCTGGGCAACGAGCTGCTGAAACTTTTCTTCAATGGAAACACCTTTTCTTACAATTTAAGCCCAAAGAGTCACACAAGAGTTTGACATCTCTGCTCGAGATGGTTTATTTTGAGTGTGTCCCTTTGAACCTCATATTGAGAGTTCCAGTGAACATTTGGACTTTGTCTCATCATCTGCTTAATTTGTCCTGAAACAACAAGGAAGCCATGAAACAGGTCCTCAGTCAATAGTCCAGGGTGCCCTCGGCCTCTCGGCCTGGGGCTCGGTCACTCAGGCACGGCTGGCTGCCGGCGGAGCTCACGGGCGCGTCACTGCAACTCCCCCTGGCTTCTGCTCCGCGGCTGCTGAGTGAGCCCTCATCTGGGACTCTCCTCAGCTCTTTCTGGGACAGTGGCGCGGCTGCCCCTCTGTTGGTCTTCCTTGGTCTCTTGTGTTCTGGGGGCCTCTGGATGTCTGGAGTTTTGATCTCCTCCATACCTGCTTCATGCCCTGGAGGACGGGGCTGTGGCCCCCCCACACCCTCTAGCAGATCATTACATGAAGGAACCTTTTAAAAACAAGCGCGTCCATGCTCACAGGTGTACACACGGGTGCTCACACACACAAACTACACCCTTTTTGGCTCCTACCTCAAAGCACACTGTGCGCTGTCGATATTATGTGCTGCACAATAATGTTTAATATTTAGTATTTACTGTTATATTCCCATAGATCATCGTGATGTTGTTTATTGTATTGCTCTCCTTTTCTTCTGCTTGTTTTCTTTTTTCTTTCTCAACAGGTGATCCAGGTGATTGATATATGTATTTTTTTTTTGTCTGCTTATTTAGTTGGTTTTTGTTTTTTTGCCCTTTATCCCCGTCCCTCTTCTCCGCTGTTTTTTCCCCCTCTTCCTTTCTCCCTTTTCTTTTCCTCATTCAAGTCTGTCAAATACTTATGGACATTATAGGTGTTACTTTAGTCCACTGTCTCATTCAGCTATGGGCATTAGAGCTAGAAAAAAAACAGAAGAAGAAGAAGAAGAAAAGCTGCAATGACATCATTAAAATTAGAGGCTGCGCTCATGTTTCGATAATTGACCAATTGTTTGTTTGTTTTTGCTTAATTTATCTGTCATTTTAAACAGTGTGACTGTGACACATTTAACCCCAAACTAAAACTGTCCAACACCTTCACACTCTTACTGAAACTTCACCAGGACTCACTGAAAGCTACATTTGTCAGGTGGTCCAAATTAGGAGCAAATCCTCCGAGCAGCAGTTTATGGATTCTTACAGGAAATCGCTGTAGCAGACCCAGAATGTGCTGAATCTGGCGCTGCTAATTAAATACATGTCCCAACTTCAGTTGCAGCTCCGCAGGAGCCGCTTAAACTCCTCTTCCTCCTCAGCAGTTCCTTTGAATTTGAGTCACCCTGATGACTCAAATTCAAAGGAACTGCTGACCACCCCTCCTCACCATCTTCCCATAAAGACCCATGTGTTTTTGTTCTCGTGCTTGTTACAGCAAAATGCTTTGGAGGGTGTGCTTTCTCTGTGCTAACATAAGAGGTAACCACCATGATGATAAACAATAAAATATTGATACGTTAATAATAAATAAAAAGAATTACACGAATCCCATTTTTACTTGTTTTCATTCGTCCTTTTCTTTGTTACTGCTGTGTTGATTTGCACTAGTTTTTGTGGGAAATGTGTTACGGCTTAAAGAAAGTACACTTTCCAAAGCGCTAAAGTGGAACGGTGTTATAGTGGTTAACGCTGTGACCTCACAGCAAGTTTGAACCCTGGCCTTTCTGAGTGGAGTCCTCCCTGAGCCTGCCAACTGTGAGGTTCCTCCCACAGTCCACAGATGAACATGTTGGTTTAATTGGTGATTCTAAATTGGCTGTGGATGAGGGTTAAATGAGGGGCTTGAAGTATATAGGGTAAAGTATGAATGTATGCCTAAATGTGACTTATATAAGGCACTTTGAGTGGTCAATATAATGAACAGATGACCAATAACACATGACATTACATGGCATCATTGTTTATTTAGCAAAAATGCAGAAGCAGAAATACTGAGTACACCCTGTGATTCAATAGCTTGTAGAACCACATTTGGCAGTAATAACTTGAAGTAATCATTTTCTGTGTGACTTTATCAGTCTCTTACATAGTTGTGGAGGAATTTTGGCCCACTCTTGAGGTTTGTCACATTCATTTAAGCACAGCTCTCTTTTAAGATCCCATCACAACATTTCAGTTGCGTTGAGCTCTGGACTTTGCAGCAGCTTGATTCTTGTAGATTTGCTGCTGGGATCATGTGAAGGACCTAATTTCAGCCAAGCTTTATCTGTCAGACAGAGGAGTTCAAACCCAAACCCTCTCCCCTCCACCCCAAACACCTCATACCAACTGCTTGACATATCAGGTGTTTGGTTTTCTCCAACTCAAGGGTTGTGCATTATGGCTAAACATTTTCACTACTCTCTCCTCTGTCCAAAGGACATTGTCCCAAAAGTCTTTTGGTTTGTAGTTTTGCAAACCAAAGGACTTTAACATTTAACATGAGCCCTGTCGAGTCTGAGCTGTATAGCCTGCTATTTACCCTCTTAGTTGTAATCTGATGTGTTTGATATTTCCACATTGTTTCTGCATTTTGGCTTTGGTTTTGTTAAAGAAACTATGACAGGTTTTGGACTTGGTAGCTGGGGACTGGCCCACCAGGGCCTGGCCACTGCTCAGCACACAATCGACCCCCACAGTGCCTCCTGTGGGTGGTGGGTCTGCAGAAGGTTGGGCCTATGTCCCTTTTTCGTGCTGTGCCCGGCTGGGCCCCATGGACTAAGGCTCGGCCCCCAGACACTCATCCTCGGGCACCCTCCCCGGCCCTGGCTTCGGGGCGAGGCCCTGGTAACCCTATCCCAGGCAGGGTGAACTGTTCCCTTGGTGTTCTACTCATAGAACACCAAGTCTTCTGAATCGCTCATTGTCTGGTACCTGACCCAGGACCAGTTTTCCGGGGGACCAGAAGCCCCCCGGAAAACATAGCCCCTGGGATCCCTGGGAGACACAAACCCCTCCACCAGGATAAAGTAGGGATTTGCGGAGGCGCGTTTGGTGTTGCCCCAGACAAGCTGGAATAGGTGGGTGGGGAGAGAGAGGTCTGGGTGTCTCTGCTTAGGCTGCTGCCCCCGTAACCTGGTCATGTGAGACTGTATATAACTACTTTTGAATTTATGTGCAACTTTTACTGCATTCTATCAAATAGTTTTTCAGGTATTTCACATGGACCAAAATGTTGACCCTCAAAGCGACACCACCATTCCTCTGCAAATGCAAAAGATCAAATACACCATTTATACCTATATATTCACTTTGCTCGATGTGGAAGCTAACTGCACGTTGCTGAAAGGCTTCACTCTGTTTTCTCCACATAGATTCAGAGTGCTGTGGTCTCAAACTCTACCATGTCCAGTTCTGGCACAGGCTGAGTCCTTTTGGGGTCAGTGCTGCATGAAAACCGTGAAACATGTTGTTTTTACCCCTCTGGAAGCTGCAAAAAGTAACCAGCTCAAATTCTGCCTCCTTTTGCCAAAAGCATATTAAGACCTCTTCCCTTATCAACTAAACGCTACCAGCAAAGGATTACATGGGAAAAGAGGATTACTGTCAGAGTCTTGCTTGAGTGGAGGCCTGATATTAGAAGATGCTATCTGGATGGAGAAAATTACTTCACCTTGGAAGCAGATAATCACAGAGGAGGGAGACGAAAATCCGTGTATGTGTGCGTGCCCATCTGACTTCCTTGCATCACATTACACGTCCGTGTTTGCCTTTCTTTGAGGCTCTGTCTTTGTAGGCAGCAGCGTTGTTGTATAACGAAGCTTGAGGACAGCTTAGGTTCAGCTGCAGCAATGCATTCTGGGGACATTTGCTTCTTTTGACTGCAGCCCCTCTGAACTTTCTGTGGTTTTGCCTTGGAGAGTTTCCCCCAACACTGTTATGCAACATTCTAAACACTCCTCCGTTCATCACTCCCCTCACGCTGGTTTTGTCACTTGTTTTTCAGCTCCATTTTTCTCTTATTTGTGCTGGACTAACATCACATATTTTCCTCTGCATGTCTCCTCCACCCACGGCTCCTCCTCTCACACACACACACACACCCACCCACCGCAGTTTCTAATTGGGCTTCATTACCATTTCCTTTCAGTTTTTCCCAGCAGGACTCTCTGATCAGGAGGAACAGCTTTCACTGGTCACACATATACGAACATCACCGTCGTCGTCATCATCATCCTCATCAGAAGCAGCAGAACTTCAAGACTTCAGTGCATCATCTGGTAAAGTTTTGAATCTTTCCTACAATTAAACAATGAAAGCTGCTTATCAGTGCTTTCATTTCACAGCAAAAAGCTCTTTTTCTCCACATATTGCGTCGTGTACTGCGCAGCTATAACTATGAGAGAGAATTACACAGTAAAAATGCTCAAGTATCAAAAGAAGAAGTACACAGCTGCTACACAGTAGAATATAACACAGTTTTTATGTTGCTGTGTTTACAGTACTAGATTATTATCACAGAAAGGAGGTTTTCTTTATGCCTCAGCTTTATTTATTAAATCATCACAGACTGAATCTGGAGCTGTCTGACACTGTAGTACAGTAAAAATAAAACTATGACAATAACAATGGCAACATGCTGAATGAGTATAAATTAAATAACTAGAATTTGTGTCTACTGTCTCTACCTAGTTACAGTACTTCCCACTACGAGAGAGTCATAATAAAGCAGGCAGCTTTGCCTTTAACAGCCTGATACTGAGTTACAGTAAATGTGGATAACATCATCAAACTCCAGCTGGCCTGAAGGCAACGTGCCAGACTTTTTACCGAATGGCTGTGGTGCTGCAATAAAACCATTAAACTGCTCTGAAATGTTCATCTGAACCACCCAGGTAGCAAAACTTAAGTTTCCATCAGAGCTTCAGAGCAGTGAAGTGGATTGGATGGAAAAAAATGCTGATTGGATTTAAAAAAGTACAAAAACAAAGCGGTTACAGTGCTGCTTTGGATAGTGTCTGCATGAAAAAAGGAAAAGATGGTAAGTCAGAGGACTGAGCGATCCTCTCCAGTGAACCTTGTGGTTCACATATTAGTGGCCTATAAACAGCAGATTGAGTTTTTCGTGCTTTTATTGAAACCATAAATGTTTCTAATCATCTGAGGGCTACTGAGGAGTGGCTGCAGACATCTGCTCAGACTCTCCAGTATTTGTTCTCATGTCTGCTCTCTATTTCTGCCAAGAATGCAGAAATGTAACTCATGTAACTCAGTATCCCTCCTCCTCCTCCTCCTTTTTTTTTAATTTTTTTATTTTTTTACAGTTTCTCTCTCTTGACTTTCTGCTTTTATCCCCCCTCGTCCTTCTTTCTGCCCTCTTCTCTCTGTTCCTGCAGCTGTTGTGGAGGTAACTTCCCATTAGGAGACCAACAAGACCCGACTTTTCTCATTATTGTCACACACCGCAAACTGCAGGTTTTCATTACTAAACCTGCTTTCAGACAGCTGTTAGCTTTCCTCCTCCTCCTGCTCTCAGGCAGAGGATCCAACAGTGCAGCTTTTTATCTCCTCTTCTTCTTTGATTGGATCCTGGATGAGAGAAAACCTGGCAGGAAAAGAAAGATAAAGCCTTTGAAGTGCTGCAGGACAAATATATATTTTTTAAAAACATTCCACACTTTATACAGAGTAGTTAGCAGAGATTAGCACTTTGATAACCTGAGTGTCTGGGCAGAGTCGTCTGAGGGCCGAGGCCGCTTGTGTTCAGGGACGGGCAGGAAGCAGAGGGAGAGAAAGAGAGAATTTGAGTGTTAGGTGTGACTGTAAGTTGTTTCTGAGTAGGCCAGCTGGTATTCAGCGTGTCAACAAACTTTTATATGAAACATCTGTTTAGAATATTAGTGTTTTGATTTGTAGAGCTCACTAATCTTTGCTAAACGAGTAGTTGAAGATGTTTTTTTCCACCTCCTGAGCGGGAAATTGTCTATGATGCCCATCATATCGCAGCCTGTGTCATACAAACGACCTGTTTAGAAATGGCTGTTATGTAAATGCAAAGAGTCAAAGAGTTAAAATGACTTCCCTCTGGTCCGGTCTAATCTCCCTGCACCCTGCATGCTCATGTGGCTTTTTTGCACCGTATACATAAACATGCTCAATTAAGTGTTTTAATATTTTGTTATACAGCTGTGACTTTGTTTTCTGTCGTACATATGGGAACAAAAAAAATGTACTTTCTGATCAAACATGATATTTAGTTTGTTTGATAATCAGGTCCAACAAATCCCAAAGGGATTATTTTTATGATTGGAGCGCTGCCCGAAGCGAATTCAGTGAACCCCTCACCATCTTTACTCTAAATCTAAAACGCTGACATGTTGTCCATAAATCAAACTGTGAGGTGGTGAGTGGCAAAATATTATACTTTTTAACAAAAGCCTCTGTTTTGCATTATTGTTTATAATATTCAAGGTCATTACATTATATTGTTATTGAAGAAGATAGGGTGAAATAAGTTTGGAGCATGTAAATCACGTGTTCTATAGAGATATTCATGGAAACCTGATGTCTTTTACTTTTACTCTGTTTACAATTTGTTTTGTTGTTATTTGAGTTTTGTGACTGATATAAAACTGTCAATCAATCAGTTAGGTTGAGTTTTAAACGAGAGCTTCCACTCCGTAGAGGATGAGACTGTTTGAATCTACTTGACATATTTCTGTAAGTCTCTGTCAGAGCCTGTCTGACGAAAAAACTAATACATTTTTACTGTAAGGGCATAAATCGTGTGTAAATCACCCATTTGGTGTTTATGTATGCTGCAGTTTCCAGAAATTACATGCGCTCTTCATCCCTCTGTTATTTTCATAATGTTTTGTTTTATTTTAGTGGGAGTTGTGGTTTTCTTTTGTTTAGTCAGGTCAATATTTCCCATTGTCTGTAATGCAGTGTTGCTCGTGCACAGATCTGTTTGTGCTTGTTCATCTGTTTTTTTTTCCATTTCTCGTTTTCTCTCAGCCTTGAGACTGCAATGACCTCACTCAGACTCTTGTCCCTGTTCCCCTCCCTCCTCGTCCTACAAGTCCATCTTTCCAACCAGTTAGAGGACAATAAGATCCCCCCCAGTCTGTGTACTGGCCACCCTGGTATCCCAGGCTCTCCTGGGGTTCATGGCAGTCCTGGTCAGCCAGGGAGAGATGGGAGGGATGGGAGGGATGCTGCTCCTGGGGAAAAGGGGGAGAGAGGGGAGAGAGGGGCCCCAGGTACGTACTTATATGGATTTGTTTGTGAGCATGTGATAAATCGGTGCAGGATTCTCATATTTGTGCACCTCCTCCTCCTCTCCAGGTGAGACAGGAGTGCGAGGCCTGACTGGAGACAGGGGTGACCCTGGAGAAAAGGGGGAAAGGGGGCAGCCGGGCGAGTGTGCAGTGGCTCCTAAATCCGCCTTCAGTGTCAAACTCTCTCAGGGCCAAACCTCGCCCCTGAATGTGGGCGACGCAGTCCGCTTTGACACCATCCTGATCAATGAACAGGGCGACTACAACTCAGAGACGGGACGCTTCACTTGCAAAGTCCCTGGAGTCTACTACTTTGCCGTCCACGCCACGGTGTACCGCGCCAGCCTGCAGTTCGACCTGATGAAGAACGGACACGCTGTGGCTTCTTATTTTCAGTTTTATGGCAACTGGCCCAAACCAGCATCTCTTTCAGGCGGCTCCCTGCTTCACCTCATCCCCGGCGATCAGGTGTGGGTGCAGATGGCTCTCTCAGAGTACAATGGATTTTACTCCAGCACCAAGACAGACAGCAGCTTCACCGGCTTCTTGGTGTACTCGGACTGGAAAAACTCTGCTGTGTTTGCCTGACATGTGCCGCTTTTATTTCCTTACTGAGACATTCTGGACAGACAAGTGAATCATCCGTGACACGATACAGCTGTATTTGTGTAATAAATAAAGAACACACCAGGCAATGTAACCCGAATAGCACATGGTGTACTGAGGCGCACACAATGAACGGTACAGTTTACTCTGTGTCTGTTCTGCACTTTCAGCTTTTAAACTGCTGACAGTTAATTCTTCTAACAGATGTCAGGCCACAAATTCTCAAACAGCCTTTATGCCACTGTTCTATTGCATTTTGTTTTAGTGTCTACAGCTCTAACGCGAGACATTAATACATTTTTAGACTTTTGAAAACACACTAGACTGAAGTATGTCTCTGGCCATGAATGAAAGTGGATCAGGCATTAGGCTGGAGCTGCACAGTTAACTCCAAACAGGAAAGTCGAGACTCTTTCTGATAACATCCCTGCCTGATTTTAAGAGGGAAAAGAACTCAAATACTTCACTGAAGACAAAGTGCAAATGGAAAACAGTAAAACTACCCCTGATACTGCTATTTAAAAAAAGCAATGCATGAGAATGATTTGAAAAATATACTCTTATAAATGTGTTAAAAGCCCTCGTTCTGCTGTGGATGTAATCTAGTGTAAGATAATAGGGCTAGTAATAATTATAAATGAATGGAAAATCTGGAACCTGTTTTAACTACTTTATTTACAGTCTATTCCCTCATTAATAGTTGCAAATAAATGTATGAGGTTGTGGGATGTTTCAAGAAGGTCAAAAATACAAAATAAAAGTTTTTTGGGTTTAGTATTCTTAACACAAGTAAACACAAAATGCTGTTTGAAAACGAAGATGTTTATTATAAAGAGGGGAAAAAATTCAGACCATCATGGCCATGCGTGAAAAAGTGATTGCCCCCTAAACCTAATGACTGGTTGGGCCACTCTTAGCAGCAACAACTGCAATCAAGCATTTGTCATAGCTGGCAGTGAGTGTTTTTCAGCGCTGTGCATTTTGAGCCACTCATCTTTGTAGAGTTATGGTCATACAGCCACTTTAGAAGGTTTTCGAGCATTAACCGCATTTTTAAGGTCATGCCACAGCATCTCAGTTGGATTCAGGTCAGGACTTTGACTAGGCCACAAGTCAAAGTTTTCATTTTGATTTTCATAAGCCATTCAGAGGTGAACTTGCTGGTGTGTTTTGAATCAATGTCCTGCTGCAGAACTCAAGTGCGCTTCAGTTTGAGGTCAGGAACAGACAGCTGGACACTCTCCATCAGGGTGTTTTGGTAGACAGCAGAATTTATGGTTGCATTTACCACAGCAAGTCTTCCAGGTGCTGAGGCAGCAAAACAGCTGCAGAACATCACACTGACACCACCATATTTTACTGTTGGTATGATGTTCGTTTTATACCAGATGTAATGGGACACAAACCTTCCAAAAAGTTACAATTTTGTCTTCCACAGAGTATTTTCCCAAACATCTGAAGGGATAATCAAGATGTTTTCTAGCAAAACTGAGATGAGCCTTTATCTTCCTTCAGCGTTGGAAATCTGCCCAGTCTCTTTCTCATAGTGGAGTCATGAACACTGACTATAACTGAGGCAAGTGAGGCCTGCAATCCTTCAAATGTTGATCTGGGGTCTTTTGTGACCTCTTGGATGAGTCGTTGCTGTGCTCTCAGTGTAATTTTGGTCGGCCTGCCACTCCTGGGAGGCTCTGACTGTGGTTTGCTGGAGTCTCACAGCTTTAAAAATGACTTTACAACCCTTTCAGACTGAGAGATCGCAGTTACTTTGTTTCTCATTTGTTCGCAAATTTCCTTGAATCACAGCATGGCGTCTGGCTTTTGAGAATCTTGAAGTCTACTTCATTTCGTCAGGCAGGTCCTATTTAAGCAATTTCTTGTTTAAGAGAAGGTGTGGCAGGTGTGGCAGGATGTGGCTATAGAAATTGAACATAACTTTCCAAAGATGTGATACATACCACTTCATTTAGAAACTACATTTTGGGTTTACTTGTGTTGTCTTTGTCTAATATTTAAATGTGTTTGATGATCTGATACATTTAAGGGTGACAAACATACAAAAAAAAGGAAATCAGGAAGGGGGCAAACACTTTTTTTCACACGACTGTATATTTAAATTTAATGCATTTAATGTAACATCTTAATCTGAAAAGTAAAAACCAAATGTACTGAAGTCAAATTGTAGTGTTTCTGTAGTGTAAAGTTGCATAAAGTGCTTTCACATGGCATTTCTATGAATAATGCCCAAGTCCTTTGCTTTAATTCCCAAAGGTAGAAAACTGCTAAAGTAAATACCCAAATGAAAAAGGCTGGAAAATATTCATTTTCCACTGGATTCATGCTAGGTACCTCTGCCTAATGAGTTCACCAAACGCTCTAAGTACCCTGACAGATACACTACGAGCTGGTTGATGTTAGTCAGCATCTCTCTCTCCTCCCAACAATAATCGTGGGTGTGAATTAATCTCACGGTTTACTCAGATGAGCCGCTCCCTCTGTTTCTTGAGATCTGGGGCTGAACTGTTTATTTTCTCGAATAAACTCCGACAAGACCAGAGCGCGAGAAAGCCTTGTTAGATACACTCAGACATGATGAAATGCTATTCTCTTATTTCTCTGTCAAACCCCTGTACAATATTAAGCTCCAGATGGGTCCTTCTAACTATTCCCGCTCGGGGAGGGAGAAGGATGCAATGAGTTAATAAGTTTTCCCTTGGCGTACGTCAGTTATTTCCATTAGTTCACAGCCTTCATCGCTATGTTGAGGCTTAGAATTGAGGGTAAAGCAGACAGTGACATCACTTACTAAAATACAGACTGGGCACTTCAGAAAAAGAAGATGAGAGTATGACATTTGGATTAAGATGTAGCTGCAGATAAAGAAGCTACAAATCAAAGCACCCAAGAAGAAAGAAAAGATCTAAAATTAATTTTTGTCTGATTTTATTTGTTCATTGAAGTAAGGTCATGATTTACTCTTCCTCATCAGTAGAAGCAGGACTGAATACACGTGTAGGAGGGAGGTGTAAAAGCAAAGAAGAGTAGAGGTAGGGAAGGTGGATGAGTTTAAATACCTGGTTTCAACCATTCAAAGCAATGACAGAGCACAGGAGAGGTAAAGAAGAGAGTGCAGGCAGGATGGAGCAGGTGGAGACTAGAGTCACAAGTAATTTGTAACAGAGAAATAGCAGCAAGAGTAAAAGAGAAGGTTTACAAGATGGTGCATGATTTGGAGATGGTGGCACTAACAAAAAGACAGGAGACTGAGAAGGAGGTGGCAGAGCTGAAGATGTGACCACAACACACAGAGTGCAGGGACAGCTCAAGTGTAACAATTTGGAGACAATTAGAGAGGCAAGACTGAGATGGTTTGGACATGTGGAAAAAAGAGATAGCAGATGTATTGGACAAAGGATGTTGAAGATGGAGCTACTTGGCAGGAGGAAAAGAAAAGGACAGAAGAGGATGTTGCATCTGCTGTGGCAACCCCTAAAGAGAGCAGCTGAAAAAAGAAGAAGAAGAAAAAGAAGAAACGAGTAACACGATTTTAGATTATATTATGCTACACTTTCAGCTTTGTCTTCTTACCCTCTTGTGTCCTATTCCCCTGATTACCCCCATGTGTATTTATAGCCCTGCCATTCTTTTGCTCAAAGCTGCATATTTTGTCTAGAGCTGATGGAAACACTTCATCCAGCAGGGGGCAGTGTTGCACCGCTATTCAGCACCACTGCCTGCAAACTTCATAGTGTTGTTACTTCACAGTGTCTGGGCAGGACTCATGATTTCAGCCAGCAGTATTGACACTCCTGAGGTGCCTTTATGATGCGTTCAATAGAAGCTGCTGATGTTAAAATAGATCCACGCTGCACAGGAATGAACATTTTATTAGTTCAGTTTGTGACCCAGTAGCTACTCTCCATCATGTCACAAAGGGACTCCCTTAGTTACTAAACATTTCTTCTCATTTTAACAGAATGCACACTTGACAAGCTAGACAAGAGAAACAAGATACTTTATTTCCTGCTCCTGAAACACAAAAACACAATTAGAAACAATGAAATATTTTAAAATTGTAAACATCAGATTATTTAAGACAAAAACACTTGCATGCATGCATACAAATGTATCTATATTGATAGACGGGATCTATATTAGAGTAACTGTTATCATAAAACAAACCCACATCTGTGAAGCAGCTCAGACGTACTTTAGACAGATCAATACGTGAACCTCGCCGATTCACTCTGTGCTCTTCTCTGTTCATTATGAATGTATGAAAGCTGGTGTAACATTAGGACTCACTGTGAAAATGTGTGAGTACTAAATGGAGTTTTGAACTGGCTGCATGTCAGCATGTAGGCTGAATGATGACTCAACCGCCAGGAGAACTTCATATTTTCACCTGATAACATCCAGGAGTTTAATCAGAATCAGAATCAGAATACTTTATTAATCCCGAAGGAAATTAGGATGCAATTTATGAGTTTAAATTGCACCGATGCTTCTCAAAAGTCTCCTGTCATGCTTCCTGTCATGGTGCAGTCTGTCTACCTTGTAAAGACATTTAGAATTTAAATCGTGTTGTAGAGATTTTCAACTGTAACTGTAGGGGTGAACCAGTGTTGTGTCTACACAATACAGAAAACTTAGCAAACAACCAGTTTTAAATTGTATCTTTAATCACGAATAGTATCTGAAAGTCAAGCCCTCAAGAAATGAGAACTAAATCCAGCAAAGACCTGACACAGGATCTGAGAGCTGTATTTGACCCTTCGTTTGATCTACTATCTGCTCGAGGAAGCCTCATCAGAAACGGTCTCAGTGGAAGGATAGTTGTCAAGAAGCGATTCTTAAGAAAGGGAAACAGGCAGAAAAGGTCTTGTCATGCTATGTTACACAAGAACTGGACTGAAAAATCAGTAGCAACGGGTCTGATGGAGTGATGAAACTTTCCAAATTTGAAAGTTTTGGTTCAAAGTGTCATCACTATGTGCAGAGGAGCTGAGGAGAGAGGTACAACAGTGAGTGTCTACAGCCATCTGTAGCCACACTGGAGGCTCTGTCGTGGTTTGGACATCATTTCAGCCGCCGGTCGTGGAAATGTCTGTGAGATTGTGACTCTCCATGCAAAACCATTTGACTGTCAATGGTTTCACACTTGAACAAAACAATGATCCCAAACACACTGCTAGTGCAGTGAAACACACACAGTGGAGCACAGTCATCCATGGATTGGCCTCCCCAGAGCTGAACTTCAAAATTATTGACGCAGTGCGGGATCATCTTGACAGATAACAGAACAAAACACAGCCAACATCCAAAGAAGAGCTTTGAATGTCCTTTAAGAAGCCTGGAGAACTACTCCTGAAGACTACTTATATAAATTACAAAAAAAAACTGTCTAAGAGAGTTCAGGCTGTGTTGAATAATGAAGACAATCACACCAGTCTGCTCAGTCTCACATACTGTTTCAATAAATCACTACATCTGTTTTCCCTTTTCCCAGCAACATGTTAAGAAATAAGGAGTGTCTCAAGACTTTTGTACAGTACTGTAATCAGATCTTTTATGTCCCTCTTGACCAGAAAGTTTCAATGGGCATAGAAATAACAAACGATTTGGGTGTGTCCCGTCAAAGGGACTTGTACAAACACTTGTACTTTTCTTCACGCTGACATTATGGCCTATTTTCTGTTGATTAGTGTTTTTTAAAAATAGAAGCTGCGTTAAATTCACAGAGTCAGTGTTACAAATCATGGTCTGAATATTTCTTATAAGAACTACATTTAAATCAGCATCACTGCCTATTTTTGTTTTCAGTAGTCTTTCAGCCATAGCAAAAAGTAGCAAGTGCTTCTCTTTGGTTTAAAGCTCAAGGTATCACAGTACCACGAAGTATCAACAAAACTGCTGGATCTGCTACCATCCAGCTTCCTCCTTCAGTGGTTACCAGCTTCAGCCTCTGAGCTGCCCATACATCACACACTCTGTTTATTAAAGGCTATCGGGATTAGTTGGATTCATTACAACAAATCTCTTAATTACAGTAGAGTGAGGGTTAGGATTGAGGCTGAGGCTAATGAGCTGCCCATTTCTTCCTTGTCTCTGCCACAGTGGCTCTAAACCTTTACCTAGATGGTTCTTAAAATCAGAAGAAGTAGAGCCTGAATGAGTCAAAGATGAGCGTGCTGGAGTTTGAGATTTTCCCACACTGCAAGACCACCGGGGTCAGAAGGAAGAGGTCAGATCCCCGGAGCATTTTGCTCGCCTCGGTTTACTTCTTCTTGCTCCTCTCCTGACATCAAACTTCCTCTCCTCTGTTAACACCACCCTCATTTGCAACAAACATAAACACTGCTGAGGCTGGGCTCACAGGTCAGGAGACAACAAATAGCACCCGGATTTGCTTTTGGTGTCTTACAGTCTGTTGAGGTTGGGGGTCAGGTAGCAACCTCACCTCTCTGTCATTTAAATAATAAGTCTTATTGTCTCCAGCTGAGCCAGAGCCAGAATGATTTAACAGCAACATAGTTTAAGTGCAAAAAGAAACATTAGAATTATATTTATGGAGGTCAAGGTGGACTTTAAAAATCTGAGCAGATGTTTAATATGGAGATATTTTTAGAGGGAACATTGGGAATGAGAATGAAGCCTCTGAAGCTGTAAGCCACAAGGCTCTGATGAATTGTAGTAGGATTATAGTAGTATTCCCAGCTGGCCATTAGGACCCCTTTCCCCCCTTAATCCTGCAGCCTTTCTGCAAGCTCCAGACACGCACCCTCATTCACAAAGCAGCTCCTTTATCTTCAGAATCAAAAGACGTGAAAGCTAAACTATCTCCGAACTATTGCATCATCTTTGCTACCATGAGTAAAATAAATGTGTAACAAGTCTGTATTACTTTATACATACCCTTCCTGTTAAAAGGGAGTTTTTCCTTCTCACTCTCGCCAAAGTGCTTGCTTAACGGGCTAATATGATTGTTTTGGTTTTCTCTGTTTTCCAGTATTGTTATAGGGTCTTTACCTTATAAATAAAGCGCCTCGAGGCAACTGTTGTTGTGATTTGGCGCAATATAAATAAAATTGAATAGAATTTTCATATAGCGAGCGAAGTACAGGTGTGGGTATTAACAGTACTGCTGGCTGTGATATTTAATGACAGCCACAGTGAACAACACTGCGACTCTCAGTGCTGCGTGTGACTCAGTCATCGATACTTTTATTATTTGCACCTGTGGTTATTCTTTTACGACATGTTTTATTTTATTTTTTTTAAACGCCTTTCCTGAGTGTGGCTGTTTCCTCTCATGTGCTGCACCTGAATCACAGCTACACTCGTTTCTCCAAACCGCCCTTTGTGTCTGATGTGTCACAACAGACGTGAATTATTTTTTTCTTGCAGGAAATAACAGTAACCGTCAAGCTTTTTTAGCCTGTCACATTTTCTTCAGCCAGTTTTGACCAACTTCATGGTCACAGTACTAAAACATGGAAGAACACAGGATGTTCATTTGCAATATTTATTTTCTTTTTAGTTTTAATATACTTTTTGCATCTGTGCTCACTTGGAAACATGTTTACAGAAACAGCATGAGGCATTCAACCAGAGGTGGTACCCTCCTTCCTGAGGCTGGATCTTCCCTCAAAACTCACCTGAAGGGAGATTTAGCCTATTTTAGAGCCTCAGTCCTGAAATGACCAATGTCATCAACTGTCCAGAGTTGCATCCTCTGCAGTTCACTTTGTACAGCTGGCAGATTTTGTGCCTTATGTAAAAAGAAATGTATTAAGATCGACGTCAGAGCAAGTTGTCTGTTTCACATTTGTAAATTTAAAAGCAAATCTCATCTTCTATTATTTATCTTACCTATTTGTTCTTTCAACGACTGTGGAATAAAAAAGCCTAATGAACAATACTTCAGGTATTAAGATATATCTTACACGACTGATCAGATCAGGCAATGTTTTTCAATCTTCTGTTGTAGCCTCAGTTTCCTGTTCTTAGCTGACAGGAGTGGCACCCAGTGTGGTCCTCTGCTGCTGTTGCTCATCTGCCTTGACATGTTGTGCATTCAGAGATGCTCCACAGGATACTACACACCTTTCACAGGATGCCTTCCTATCAGTTCAAAAGGGTCTGACCATTCTACTTCAACCTGACTTCAACAAGACATTTTCACCCCGAGAAACTGCAGTTCACTGGATAATTTTCCCTTTTCAGACCATTTTCTGTAAATCCTAGAGATGGTTGTATGGAAAAACCTAAGAGCGGCTGATCAGGGTCACCTAAAATGACCTTTTCCTCCATTCTGTTGCTCGTTTTGAACATGGTTGTCAAGATGCCTAAACGCACTGAGCTGCAGCCATGTGGTTGTCTATAGATATTTGCATTAATGAGGAGCTGAACTGGTGTACTTAATAATCAGTTTTCTATGAAACCACACATCTTTGCACAGCTGGTTGGACAAAGCATTTTAAGATGGTCTTAAAACTTCTTTTTGGTGTTCGATGCCATGCTATAGATTAATGAATTAATGGGTTGTTTAATAAAATCCTCTGCAGGTAAAATCGTACAAAAACATTCACTTGGATGAAGGAAGATGAAGAGCTTCAGTTTCAGGGATTGTTATTTTATTACAAACACAAGACAGTCACATGGCAATTTAAAAAACATAACACACATTCATGTCGTTAACTCAGTCCTTCACTGCTCACACAGTTCATACATTCAGCAATCAGCATGTGTTTCTACCCACTGCAATCTTTAGTTAGGACTGCCATTGGTGCTTTAGAAATACCTGAGAGCGGTCTATTCTGACTACAGGCTCTAGAATCATGAATAATCTTCCAAATTGACACCGAGACCGCTTTCACCTGCAGTAGAAAACATGACATCATCAGTATTTTCCATTACACAACTCTCTACACCACCCACCATCAATAACAACACAATAACTGGTGACAAAATATCGTCCTGTAAACTTTTAACATAAATCAATTTTAATATTTTAAATGAAACAGAAAAAAAGGGAGAAACAACCGCAAATTAAATTGCAAAATCCTTATTTGTTTATGGTCCTTTTATACCACAGAAATCAGTTTTACAGCAATGTCAAAAGAAAGGGAAAACCATTTATGGATTACTTGTCAGTTGTGACTGTAACTCACCTCTGGCAGAGGACAGGAAAGACCCTATCAGCTGGAAGAAATAAGATACAATAAATGGAATCAAGCCTGACTGGAAAGACAAAATGGTGAAGTGGTTCACAGAATCTGGTCTAAAGGGTGAAAGCTGCATTTATACATACAACATTCATGCGTACAGCATGTGGAATTATGTGTTCACTAATAAAGTAAAAGCACAGTGTTAGCTTCCTTCCTTCACAGCTTGGCCCACTGAAATCACAACAATTTAAGACATGAGTGGTAGAAAAGGTTTTTTTTGAGGCTCAATGTAGCGACACTGGGACACGAGAGATGCACTGAAGGTGAAATTTGGACCGATTTTACTTTAATTTAATACTCCATTTGTGCCAGGGAAACTTAAAACAAACAAACAAACAATTTTAAGAATATACCAGACCTCTTAACCACCTTGTTTTTGAGCATTCAGTTGACCAAACCTAAGAACTCTGAGTGGTCAAATGCACTGCATCTTAAAAGAAACCCACCAGTAAACTGAAAAATTCTGTAAAAGCACGCAAAACACAGCAGAAACTGAAACAACACTGTTAAAGGAAAAACTAAAGGGGAAAAAAAACACCAAAGAAAACTAAAGTGTTTTTGGGAAGACAATAACGTGACAGGACAGCTGTGGAAGTGACAAGCTAACAGTAAACAGCTAACAGCAAACATACATCTACAGTACTGTATGAATTGTGTGATTAAAACAATATATACTGCCTTGCATTGCTTCTCCTTTACAACGATAATGAATCTTTTGCTTCTGTCGAGTGTGTCTCAGTGCAATCCTTCACGTTTTGGTTTCTGTAACTTCCACAGCTGCTGCATCAAATAGTTGTTTCCCCAGAAACTAAAAACTTAAATTTTTTTAGCTTTGGCAATGTTTTTTTCTATTTTTGTTGTATTTTTGCAGTCTTTTCTTTCTCTATTTGCTGATGTTTCTTTAGTTGCAGTCCGTTTGACCTCGCAGGGCCACTGTAGTTATCATCTTAAATGGGTAGCAGGCAATCAGCAAGGTTAACACTGGCAAACAGCTGATGCGTGGCTGATTAATCAGTGCATCCCTGTGGCAAACAGCAACAGACACAGCTTACTCTTAAATTAGAGACTTGCCCCCAAACTCAAGACTAACTCTAGGATTTGAGTATGGATTTACACTGGGAAGGCAAAAATTAAAGCAAAGCTCAAACACACACACACACAGTTGCACACGTGACTGATATTTAAAGCATTGTAAGCATTGCATCCCTGAACAGAGATCATTCTGAAAATTGATTTTTTTTACACTTCTAGCTCCTTGGGTATAAAGTTTATATGATGCCTGAAGGAACGGAGTGGAAAATAATGCGTAGAATTAAGCAAGCAAGGCGTACCCACGCTGCTACCTCACCTAAACTAAGGAATATTCTCAGAAGTGAGAACAGAACTAATTCTGATATTTTCCAAGGCGTCATGTGAGAAAAAGAAGCTTGTGTTTACATTTTTGATGCAAAATGCACAAAGAGGTGCTTACAGCTGAAAAAACAAAACCTCTGGCTTTCTCTCAAAATGTATACATCATGGCACAAATATTGTGCACATATAAATATGTTGACTTCTTGCATACTCACAGAAAATGTTTACCATGAGAACTTGTACATACTATGTGTTGTTTACATTTAGTGTATAGTATGGAATCAGGGCACAACATGTGCTGTTAACGTGTGCACGCATCTGACACCAGAAGACAACCTGGTGACTTTTTGTTTTCTTACTATCATTAAATCTCTCAATTCCCAAATAATCCAGAGCTATCCAGTATGTTTAACAAGTCTGGTCTGGTCTTTTCACTTAAGTCCCATTTAAGTGAAAAGACAAAAAAGAAACCTTATATAGTAAAGCTCAGTGGTGGTAAAACTTATACATGTAGATACTGATAGGCTGTGAGGCTACTTGGTATCAGACACCAGTTGATCCACTTTGGCTGGTCCCTCATAGATACACGTCCATGGTGTTGAGGATCATTTGCCGACAGAGCGGGCAGTTCTGCTGGTAGATGGGCTGCCTTAAAAGAATCTGTGTACAGTCTCTACACAAGCAGAGGTGTCTGCAAGGCAGCAGCACCACTGTCTTGGCACAATCCTGACAAATCACACACTTCTTCCTCTCCTCCTGTTCCTTCAGCAGAGTCAGCAGACTCTCAGCTGGCAGAGGTTTACCATCTTCGCCTGAACGTGACTTCTTCTTTAGCTGCTTGTCTGTGCTGGAGGAGGGTAAAACTGGATTGAGTACCTCCTGGTGGGCTCCATCTCCTGCTCTACCATCTGGTGGGTCCCGCCTCTCTTCCCCAGGGTCACCGTCACCTCCAGCTCTGTTGTTGCTGTTATTGTTTAGCCTGTGAAGATGTGGTCGGAGCATCAGGCCAATCAGGCTGCTTTGGTGAGACAACTGCTGCCAAAGTCGTCTCTCCAGTCGGTAGATGTGATAGAGGATCCTCTGCAGGTACTGCACGTTACGGCGTATAAAGTGAGGCAAGCACAGTAAGGCTGAAGTGATGCAATTGAGAGCCAAACATAATCTACGGAGAAGTGAAAAGGAGTTTATATATTCTACAACGCGCACAGCAATCTGTCGGGACAGTCCCGGGTTTAGGTAAGCGGTGGTGGCCAGTGCAATAGTAATGGTGAGCACGAGGCCGTAGATGTTCAGTATGAAGATGCTAATGAACATGTGCACCAGTGAAACCAGGAAGTCCAAAACCATCTTGCAGGGTGTCCATAGCAAAGCTGATGTGCCGGCCAGGCTGCTGTACAGAAAGGTGAAACAGGTCAACGTGAGCTCCAGCGCCTTCTGCAGTGGGGTGGAAACCGTCTGCCACATGCTGACCAAAGCCAAGTAGACGTTCTGGGTAGCGATAAGCACAAAGTTTACCACTGTGTTGGTAAAATAGACCACCAGGCTGACTGCTATGCCACAGCCCTCAATCACTGACAGCAGCCCTCGACACAAGTGCTCCTTTCCACGCAGTAGGACGTGCATAGACAGGTAACCCACCATCTTCAAGCTCTCCAGGAGCCCCTCCAGAGCCAGCAACAAGCTCCCCAGATTAGCCACAGTGCTGTGAGCTAGGTTTGATGTCGCCTCCGCGGTGGACACAGCGCAAAGCAGAACGAGGTTTCCCAGCTCCAGCACCGAGTTATAAAGGAGGCTGGGCAGGCTGGTTATGAAGGTGATAACTGCCAGGAGAGTCTGCACCACGGTGTGGACGATGACAAAGTTCAGGTCCAGTAGTAAGCAGAGAGCATCCAGACATTTTCCTACAGTGGATATGACAAAGTTCACCAAACCCATGGTAATATTTCTGTAAAGTATTACTGTTTACCACTCGGTGCTCTCAGGTTGTATCCACGTTAAGTCCATTTCTCCTTTCTTTGCTTTGAGTTACATATTGTTGGTCCTCTCAATCAGCACACCATTCTTCGTGTCGTTGAACCTCAACGTCTTTATTTTTCATGTTTTCCCCATTTTTCATGCACTGAAATAATGACATAACACAGCAAACACGCGCTGCACAGGCGGATGTTTAGTTTCAAAAAAGGTCCACACACTTCCGTTTATATTCTAGGTTTCGTTTTGTTGGGTGTCCGGTCAAACTACCACCCAAAAACACTTCTCCGGCTCAACGACGACTTTATAAAACGGCCGAACCCATAAACGAAATCAAGAAAAACCGAGGGGAAAACAGACAAAAGGTTTTGGAGTCTTTACCATCATTACTGTATCCGCCATATTTGTTTTGGTCGAGTGAGCTTACGTATGTGCGTCGTTACGCTGAGCATGCGCACAGTGTCCCCGGTGTTTACAAGCGGGAAAAAAGTGGGTTTAGAAAAAAAGTCGCACATTCAAAACATATTAAAAATATATGCAGAAATAAAATTACGCATTGTCCATAACATTGATAAAATTGACTTAATTAAACAATTTTTTTTTTGGTTTTTTCACACCCTCTTTTATTTTTTTAATCATTTTTATTTGTTGTTGCTCTTTTTCATTATTTTTAAACTAAACAAAATTTAAGACACTGAATGTTAATGTGACTTCTAGCATTAGTGAAGTGTATATAAAAGATGAACACATTTCAAGGTCTCATGAGTGAACCTCATGTTCTGCTTTAAATCTACATTCCCTCTCATGTCCAGAAACTTCTCTGCTTTCAAAATGAAGTTATAGTCTACATCTGTGAAAATGACCTGGAGCATCAGGAAGCACATTCCTAATGAGTTTATGGTTTTTCCTGCTAGTTTCAAATCTTACTAAATACAGAATAATTCTAGGCTTGTGATTTATAGTCAAATAATCAGACCCAGCCAATATAACCGCTTTACTTTTCTTTACTCATTTCAGTTATTACCAGCAAAATAGTTGCATGTTTAAACATCTGAGAATTTACCCAGATTAATTTATTTATTTAGACAGAGATCTTGACCCCCCCCCCCCAGTGTTCAGCACAAAGTTATGCCCATGTTTATAGTCACATTTAGAGTTAGACGATCAAAATGATTTGTTGGAAGACAGAGATGAAGGAATATACTGAAGAGGAGAAGAATGAAAGTCTGTGTGAATGAGAGGGAAGCAGGTGCAGCAGTGCAGTAGAGGTAGGAGTAGAGGTAGCGAAGGTAGATGAATTAAAATCTAGAGCATCTAAAGCGACAGGCAACACGCAGGAGAGGTGAAGAAGAGAGGGTGCAGACAGAGTGGAATTGGTGGAGAGGAGTGACAGAAGGATAACTGTAAGACTGAAAGGGATGGTTTACAAGATGGTAGTGAGATCTGCTACGATGTATGGTTTGGAGATGGTGGCACTAACAAAGAAACACGATGCTGAGCTGAAGATGCTAAGATTTTTGAATGGGAGTGACCAGAATAGACGGGATTAGAAATGAGTACATCAGAGAGACAGCTCAGGTGGAGCTGGAGTTGGAAAGGCAAGGCTGAGATGGTTTGGCTATGTGCAAAGAAGGGATAATAGATATATTAGACAGGGTTTTGAATATGGAGATTCATGGAAGTAGTGAAAGACGACAGGCAGAGGTTGGTGTGACGGAGGAGAATGAGAGGGATATTGTGAGATGGAGGCAGATGATCCACTATGGCAACCCATAAGGAAGCAGCTGAAACATGAACAATGTTTATTTAACATGAAAAATGCTTTTCTTTTTTTTCTTTTTTTAAAAAAAAGAGTAATTGTTAATTAGTATATACGAGCTTTAATTTGCATCCTATTTGCTATATCAAATATTCACACTGATGATGTAGAAGTCTCAAAAACTCAAGTATCAATTCCAATAATCCCATCCGGAGTGTTTTTCACTTCCACTTGCTGGCAGCCTTTGAGCCCTTGAAACAACTTGGTTGAGATATGGAAAAGATCGTGGACAGGCCTGTTAGCACAGCAACCCTGCTACTTACAAATGATGCACTGAGATGATGATCACTCTCACTTATATCATGATGCAGTGCGTCACAGCACACAGGCCAAATGAAACCCTGTGTTTAATTAAATTAGCCACGCCAGCAGCTTTGACAAAGCATAACTAATTGACGCCGCAGGGATTGGAACATGTTGATGATAACACTAGCCACATAGGAGAAGAGTTTTTTTGAAAGTATTTTTGAATTTGTTTTGTTCAGTTTTTTGGGGTTCCAGATATTTTAAAACATTTTTTTTATATGTGTATCTCTAATGTTGTAGGGACAAACATTCACAGTCATGCAGTGGAGATCTGTTTCCTTTTCTTGGGACAAAAATAAGTCCTTACAGTATTTTGCATCACACTTTACATTGAAGGTGTGGGTTGTGGTCAGGAAATGATTTAAGGATTAAGAAAGTCAGTTTCAGTTACAGCTGCCTGGGAAATCCACTCTTCAGTACTCTGACCTTTCATCACCATATCTTACATTTTCCTCAAGCCATTCCATTTACATTAACAGATATATCCTCCCATTACATCAGCTACTTCAGTGACAATGAAACAAAAAAAGAATTGCGGTCCTGAACAATATCAAAACAGTTTCCTTCCTTGCCTTTTGCCTCATCCTCTCCATCTGAGCCATTCAGCGCTGGACTTTGTTCCTCGCAAAGGGAAACTCTATCTGATATGATCATGGGAAATCCTGCTTTGAGCCTTTGGACGCCTGACAAACAGCATTTGTTTAAGCATTTAATGATGCAGCAGGGATACACGGGGCAGTGCAAGAAGCTATAAAAGGTCTTGTGCACTACTTTGTCTCTGGCGGAGAGCTTCTAGACCTACTCCTTTTATGGTAGCTAACCTTCCCTCTGGTCCGAAAGCAGAGCCTTAGTCAGTTTCCTTTGTTTGTTGACTGGTCAACCAAATCCTTCCCCTCTAAAAGACGAGATGAAACAAAGGGTGGCTTTCATATGGAATCGTATGTAGAATTTCTATAAGTTTTCTTAATGTGCACTACATAGAGTTGCTTCATTTTCTCTCAGTCAACAGACACTGTAGATTCCACTTTTTTATATGAAAAAAACCTCCACTTGCTACCATTTGTCTTCAACTCAGAGCTGTAAGCTGCCTCCTCAGAACTGTTTAGCGAAAATGAACATACAATGTCAAAAAGGACATAAAAAGGTCATGCAGGGACATGGGGGTGGGGGTGGGGGGTGGGGCTTGCACAGGATGAACTGGAGACACTAAGACAAACATTTGAGGATCCACAGATATCCAATCTGGAGCTTCACACCTGCTGGGACATTTCCACCCATTAAAGAAACTCCCACAGAATAACCTTTAACTCCATTGTGTGGGTGATATGGATACTATACGCATCTATTCACAGATCTATGTGAACTATCATGAATATCATGTTAATTCTACACTGCCAAAACAAATGAGAAATCAGTGAAAATACTGATGTGGCAGTAAGGATGGACTCAACCACACTTCAACGCTTTTCATCATCTTTATTTATAGTTGCTTGTTCCTTACACTCACGGCTGCAGCTTTCCAGCTGCCAGCCGAACACACACCACCAACAACAACAACGACATTCAGGACCCAGTTCACTCTTACAAGCAGGGGAGGCATGATGAGCTAATGCAGCTCAGATGTGTCAGCGTCTCCCGCTGCCACGCCACGAACCACGCCCCCCAGCTGACTTCATAAATATAACCGTATCACAGACAGGAGAGCTCTAATTTGTCTTAATTTGTCATGTACTGGTACATAACAAAAGTATATTAGTCACATGACAGCAGAACAACAGTTGTCTCAAGGTGTTTTATATTGTAAGGGAAAGTAATGAGAAAACTCCAACAATTCAGACGATCCCCTGTGAGCAAGGAGGTCAGGAGACAAGGGAGAAGGACAAACCTTTCTCTCCTGTTACTGGAGGTGAGTGGTGTGCTTTATTAGATACTAAACTGTTTTGTTTTATTCAGAAAATCTGAACAAAATGTGTGCTGTGTGAGAGTGGTTGTCACTGCCATAGCTGAAAACAAATGAACCCATCAATGAACTGTTACAGAATGGACAGACATGTAGACAAGGGGAAGACGACTTGCTAAAGTTTAAAACAACTAACAGATCGGGGAAGAGTATAGTTGCAGACTGTCATAAGAAGCCTTGATCTGTGGGTGAAAGGCAGCCGTCGTGTCTGCCTTACCTGGGCGGAGGCTACTCATCACCAGTCAACGGCAATACTTAAGGACCAGTGCAGCCATCCAGACTCCACCAGATTATCACTCTCTTAGAGCGGTAAACAGGCTAGTTGTTGGTGATACCACGTCAAGTGTGTAATTCTGTTTCTCCACCTTTCTCTAGTGACTTAGCCAACCCCGGATCACTCCCTGACATTCACCTTTTCAGGAACACCTGCTATTACTACAGATCAAACTCAACCACTGGATCACCACTCCTGCTCCTCCTGCCTCCCACCCTCACCTCAGTAACTTGCGGATCTAAGGCTCTCTGCACCTCTGCCCCCTCCCCCACATGTTTGCACTGAGTAGGAGATGCTCCGTATGTCATTGTACATCTGTATAGTGACAACAAAGACATTCTATTCTATTCTATTCTATTCTATTCTATTCTATTCTATTCTATTCTATTCTATTCTATTCTAAAGCTTATTCTACATCTCACTGTCTTGCCTGAGTCCTGCTCTTGAGTCCAACCAAGTAAGTTGCAAAACGTGACAGCTGACCATGTTCATCCCTTTATCACCACACTCTAGCATCTTCTGATGGCTGTTTTCAGCAGGATAACACACCTTGTCACAAAGCTGAACTCATCTCAAACTGGTTTCTTGAACATGACAATGAGTTAACTGTGCTTAAAAGTCCTTTTTTGTCACCAGATCTCAATCCAATATAGCAGATATGGGATGTGTTGCAGTAAGAGAGCCTTATCATGGATGTAGAGCAACTGTGTGATGCTACGATGTCAATATGGACCAAAATCTCAGAGCAATGTTTCCAGCAACTCGTTGAATCTATGCCACATAGACTTAAAGCAGTTCTGGAGGCAAAACAAAAGGTGGTCCAGCCCAGCATTAATGATGATAATGGTTGTATTTTTTCAAACAAAGTACATCATTTCAATGTTTGTCAAAGGCATAACAGAACCTAGCACCCAGCTTTGAGCATGCCTTCCAAAGTGTTTAGCTTTTCTTTGTTTAGTGAAATTACAAAAAGTCATGTGTGGATGATGTGCAGTTTGCTAACCATCAATCCAACCTCTGTCTGCCTCCCACCTACATCAAATAGATGAGATGCTACTTGCTGAATGGAAGTTGTGACTGC